AGACACACACACACACACCATGACAGACCATGACACAGACAGACACACACCATGACACAGGCAGACACACACCATGACGGACAGACACACACACACACCATGAATGACAGACAGACACACACACACCCCATGACGGACAGACAGACACACACACACACACCCCCCCCATGATGGACACACACACACGCACCCCATGAATGACAGACAGACACACACACACCCCATGAATGACAGACAGACACACACACACCCCATGACGGACAGACAGACACACACACACCCCATGACGGACAGACAGACAGACAAACACACACACCCCATGACTGACAGGACAGACACACACACCCCATGACGGACAGACAGACACACACACCCCATGACGGATGACAAGACACACACCCCATGACGGATAGACACACACACACACACACCCCATGAATGACAGACAGACACACACACACCCCAAAGACGGATACAGACAGACACACAAACACACACACACCCCATGACGGATAGACACACACACACCCCATGACGGATAGACACACACACCCCATGACGGACAGACAGACACACACACCCCATGACGGATAGACAGACACACACACCCCATGACGGATAGACAGACACAAACACCATGACGGACGGACGGACAGACACACACACACCCCATGACGGACAGACACACACACACCCCATGATGGACAGACACACACACACCCCATGACGGACAGACACACACACACACACCCCATGACGGACAGACAGACACACACCCCATGGCGGACAGATACACACACAAACCCCAGGAATGACAGACAGACACACACACACCCCATGATGGACAGACAGACACACAAACACACACACCCCATGACGGACAGACACATACACACCCCATGACGGACAGACACACACACACCCCATGACGGACAGACACACACACACAACATACAGACAGACAGACACCATGACACAGACAGACACACACACACACACACCATGACGACAGACACACACACCCCATGAATGACAGACACACACACACCCCATGATGGACAGACAGACACACAAACACACACACCCCATGACGGACAGACACACACATACACCCCATGACGGACAGACACACACCCCATGACGGACAGACACACACACACCCCATGATGGACAGACACACACACACCCCATGAATGACAGACACACACACACCCCATGATGGACAGACAGACACACACACATCCCATGACGGACAGACAGACACACACACCATACAGACAGACACCATGACACGGACAGACACACACACCATACAGACAGACACCATGACACAGACAGACAGACACACACACACCATACAGACAGACAGACAGACACCATGACACAGACAGACACACACACACACACCATACAGACAGACAGACACCATGACACAGACAGACAGACACACACCATATAGACAGACAGACACCATACAGACAGACAGACACCATGACACAGACAGACAGACACCATGACACAGACACACACACACACCATACAGACAGACACCAAGACACAGACAGAGACACACACCATACAGACAGACACCATGACACAGACAGACACACACACACCATACAGACAGACAGACACCATGACACAGACAGACACACACACACCATACAGACAGACACCATGACACAGACAGACACACACACACACACCATACAGACAGACACCATGACACCACACACACACACACCATACAGACAGACACCATGACACAGACAGACACACACACACCATACAGACAGACAGACACCATGACACAGACAGACACACACACACACCATACAGACAGACACCATGACACAGACAGACACACACCATACAGACAGACAGACACCATGACACAGACAGACACACACACACACACCATACAGACAGACATACACATTACTTATACCTGCCAGGGGGAGGTCTTCTGGGGGCCTTTTACCGCTGGGGAGGTCTTCTGAGGGCATCTGGGGGACTTGTCCTGGCGGCCGCTGGGGGAGCTGCGCGAGCTGCGCTGGCTCTGCCCTCCCGCCCTCGCGCGCTACTGAATGAGACCGGCGCCGGAATATGACGTCATATTCCGGCGCCAGTCTCATTCAGCTGCGCTCTGGGGAGCAGAGCCAGCGCAGCTCGCGCAGCTCCCCCAGCGCCCGCCAGTACAAGTCCGCCAGCGGCTGCCAGAAGACCTCCCCAGTGGCCGACAGCAGACCCAGGTGTCTGCCCGGCCCCAGGTGCCGACGGCCCACCGGGAAATTTCACCCTCCTGCACCTAAAAGGTAGGAAACAGGAGGGTGACTTAAACATTGTGTATGTGTGTGTGTTTGTTTATATGTATGTGTGTGTCTGTGTGTATGTCTGTCTGTATCTATGCCTGTCTGTATGTATGTGTGTCTTGTGTGTGTATCTGTCTGTCGGTGTCTATGTGTGTGTGTCTCTATGTATGTATGTGTCTGTATGTGTGTGTCTGTCAAGAGGGGGAAGAGGGAGGGGAGGGTCCCATTGATCAGTTTTGCACCGGGGCCCCATGGATTTTGTGTACGCCACTGTTATGTGGGTTGCGTATCCTGTGTGTAAATGTGGGCTGTATATGGGATGCTGCGTTTAGCATTGTGTGTGATATATAGTGTACTGTGTGTGTTTGTGTGGTTGGGGATGCTAGTGGTATGGCGTGTAGGAGTCTGCTTGTCGGGCTCTGTGCATGTATCAGGGTTGTCAGTGGTGTGTTTGTGGGGACTACGTGCATTTGCATGTAGGCTGTTTGTTCAGTTTGTGTGAGATGGGAAGGCTTTTTCTGCAGCTGTGTGTATTACTAACTGTGTGGTTCAGTGGGGACCGGGCTGGCCAGGTGCTTGACAATGGCTGGGCTGCAGTGATTACTGAGGGCTGCTCTCTACCACTGCGGATTCCCCTTCACAACTACAGGGTGGAAGTTAACTGAGAGTACTTCCTCTGAGTGCTGCAATGAGTAAATTGAGGAATGACACTCACTACCTGCTGCAATCGCTCTTAGTGGCGATCATTCGACTGGCACTTGCAGATATCTGTTCGGCCTCTTAAGGGTAAATCCTCTAACCTCCCTAGCCTGTTTGAGTCCAACAGCCTTGTGTGCTATGCTGTAGCCGTAGTTGCTGACCCCTGCACCTATAATGATACAGGGGTACGACGATGTTGGCATTTGGGGGGATTTTGAATCCCGCCCTTCAAATTCTTCCATTAGTGGCTGAAATATTACATTGATGACACAGCTTTTATATGTATGTACACACACAAGCCTCAATTGTTTTGTGTTGGTAGGGATGTGGTGGTATTTTCTTTAGTGAGCTACTTCCGATTATATTTGGTGGAAGCAACAAAACAAAAAAAATCCAACTAAATGTGCTCAGAAAGGATCTACAAGATACATATTACAGTTGCAGGGTAGCTACTTGCAGCATACTAATGGTTCCATTCATAGTGCTAACATAAATAGAGCTATAGAGGCTTCAGTGGATGCAGAATATGTAGTGCTCTAGTGATATCCGCTATCTTTGATTATATCATACGCTCTTACTTACAACAGTGCCAGTGGTTATGAGAGCGATACACATGGTGTGCATCAGCCAGAGGTGTCAGTTATATTCTCTGCCCACCATATCAGCATGTCCCCATACTTGGTTCCATGTATGCAAGGGGGAAGGGGAGGGGGTGAAAATACATTTATTTTATTCAGAAAAAAACTTTATTAAATTATATTCCCCTTCCAACATTCTACAACTTATATCCCACAGGCCCATTTCATTAGGGTGTGCACCGGGAAATTCTTCTCCTATGTTATTGTTGGATGTTATGTAATTTGAATATTAAACTGTTAAGTGTGTGTGTCTTGTGTAGGGTGGCTGTAAGTTAGGTGTGTTTTGTTGCTTTTTGTGTGTGCTGTATAAAGCTGGCTGTGTATAATGTGTGGGGTAGCTGTGAGTGAAACGTTTGGGCTGCTGTGAGTGTTGTGTGTGTGTGGACAATGTATGATGTGTGGGGAAGTAGTGTAATTCCTATTAAGTACAAGATTCAAGTTATCTGCCACTCAGCTCAATATAGCTGCTTGGGGGTTAAGTACTGTAGTGAGGGGAAAGGGACTGTAGTGGGTGGTGGGAACTGTAACTATGGATAGGGGCTATAGTGGTGTATAAAGGCAGTAGCGAGTAGGTAGGGGCTGGAGTGGATGGTTAGGTGGTGCAGTAGGGAGGATATGGGCTGATGTTGATGGGTTAGGACCTGTAGTAAGGCGTTGGAGCCTGTAGTGGGTGGTTGGAGAAAATGTTACAAAAATAGAAAGTTTCTTCCTTACTTTTGGCCAGAAAGGGGGAAATCTTGATCCCTGGTGGTAAAAAGCAGTATGCAGACTGCTCCTTCCAGCTGAAGCTGGGAAATGTATCACAGAGTTGCTGTGGTAGTGTTCTAATACAGTAGAAGGAGCTGAGATCATTGCCTGGAAGTACATGCAAAGTTCTCCCTCCTCCCTGTTGGCATCAGCAGCTAGCTGGGGAGCACAGCCAGTGGCTTCTGGGGAGAGGTGGGGGAGGTACAGTGCTGGTGATAGACCTTTTGGTCTTCGTGCCGCAGCCAGCGCTCTGGTTTCATTAGGGTGTAACTGGGCCTATGTCCACAGGTAGTCTCCTAACACATGCATTCTCGCCCTGTCTCACTTTTATTCTCTGGTATCCCACTTGTGGTGATACCAGAAACAAACAAGAATGCCATTAAAGGGATACTCTATGCACCGAAACTCGTGTTGTATAGATCATGTCCCTGCAGTGTCACTGCTCAATTCTCTGCTGTTTTTATGCATTAGATCACTCTTATGCAGTCCTACCCACACATCCTCTTGGCTGTGATTCAAAGAGCCTCCATGAAAAAACAAAACAATACTTACATTTTTAGACCAGTGTGTTTTAATTTAGAAGGTTTTATCTTCTGTTCTGTTATTTGAACTTAATCACACAAGTGGTCGCTGTAGGCTCTAGCAGGCAATTACGATTTAAGAATATGTGAAAAGAACATCTAAATTAAACAAACTGTGCAATAAGAGAAGTTATAATAAAAATGGAACAAGACGTGTGAAGAATTGAGACAATTTGGTACTGAGGGGCATGATCTATACACCAAAACCCTTCATTACTCTAAAGTTGTTTTAGGGCTTAGAGTAACCCTTAAAATTTGCTTACTTATCACAAAACACAGGGCCTTATCCCTAAGTGCTTCATTAGAATTCTGCATGTGGGCTTCCTTGGAGGGGTATGTTCACTGATAGGTGTGCTTGGTATTGGAGATTACACAAAATGCCCTCGCTCAGGATCTGCCAAGCTGGATTTTTGTCAATGGCTTGCAATTATTATAAAACAAAAGTGTCCAATTTGTGTATTATAAGATATTAATTTATTTTACACACTGTCTCACTAACTGGGTTCCTCACTACACTTCAGTTGTAAGAGAATTTTTCAAATCTGCAATCTTGGCCTTAGTTTGCCGTTTTAATTTGCTAAATATCAGAGTTCAATTAACAGCCCTGCTAACTGAAGCAATATTTGTTGAAAAAAAATTAAGTAATGCGAATGGAGTTCAATAGTGCAACACATGTGACTTCCTACGTGCACAGCATTTGATGGCCACCACAGCTACAGATGTGCAGATTTATACCAGCAATTGCACAGATGACTCATGTCTGGCTTCCTCTATGTAAAGTGGATTAGATTGGAAGAAATATTACGAAACGACCCTGCAGATTGTACTGGTGAAGCAGTACACCTCAGGGCTTGCCAGGGTCCAAAATACTGAAACGCCCTCTCGATGCACACTCCGCCTGAGGAATATGACCTTTAATAAGTCCCATGTGAAGGGGAGAGCAATAAAGTATCCGTGAATGGGGTAAAACCCATGGTTAAACCAAAGTTACACTAACCCAACAACCTCTAAAACCAGTTGAAAATTAAAGGTACTTTTACAGGGTTTTTTGCCTATAATTTGCATTACTTTGATGGATTATTCTTTAACTGTTAAATATCTTACTTTTTCACAATTGTTTAGTGGTTAGTAGGTTAAAGCATTTAGACCTCAAAATGTTAATGGTGCATGATATTTAGTGCTTGGTGGAAATAGGCAGAGATTTACTAGCAGACAACCCAGTTCAAAGAGGTTGAAGACGTCTTAGGGTGGGCCTTCTATCAATTCCATTAAAAAAAAAAAAAACTGTCAGTTTCAGCATCAGAACTTAAAATGTTTTTTGTAACCAAGACATTGTCTAATACAGGTTTTGACTTTTACTTTTTTAGCAGGTGGGGCTTGTTCCTCATTGTGCATTAATAGGTCATGGTCTGTCTAACTGCACCTCATCAGTTCTTAGAATTATGTCAAGAACTGTCTAATCTGGTGCAATATAAGTAATTAATTTGTTTATTGCGGGGCATATATACATATTGACTGGATAGAGAAATCTGTATTTTTTTTTATAAAGTCCAAATTTTTATAATCTGCTCGGTAATCATTAACAAGAAGTAATGGACTGTCAACTTTTTCTTTTTAATTTATTTATATACAAAAATATATATATATATACACATATATTATAAATGGTAATGGCTTCATTACATTTCTGAACTATATAACATTACAATTTATCTCCAGAAAAGCATTTTAAATTACAAATGAAGCAATATTTAAACAAAAATATACAACACAACTGTATCTCCAGTATTAAAAATATCAGTTTTTCTTAATTCATGCAGTGAGCACATTCGGAAGTCGAATAGGACGTTATTAGGATAGTATTCCATTGGTAGTCAGACTTGTGAAATACTATATTCTTCATGAGGATGTACAGCCGTCTGTGTCGATGTAGGGATCAGGAGATCACTGGGGGAGGTCATTCTTCACATGCCTGGAAATATTAAATAGCTTGTCAGTCAAAGCGGTCAACAGACAGGACTTGTATGAACAGTAGCCCTGCAATCTACCTTCATGTGTGAGAGTTGATTTATTTAGAATACATATATGTTTCTTAATTAATTTACTTTCACACACAAAGGTAGATAGCAGGGATATTAATACAAGAATATTATATATATAATATGCATACAGTCTTTTTGCATTTATGAATATCTACAATTAACAGTAATGGATGACGTATGGGAAAAAGCCATGGAGGGCTTCTTAAAGGATTACTCTAGGCAGCAGAACTACTACCGAAGTACCCTTGCTTCGTTTCCCGGTTATGGGGCAAACTGTTTTCTGTTTTGCAATAAATGCTCTGTTACCTGGTCCTGTCAGAGCCTGGTCTCCTTTAAGGCTGGCTGGGTCACACATTCCAGGTTCTGCAGAGCTGAATGCCAATCTTGCTGGCCATGCATTGGCTGAGAGCATCAGCTGACTGCTTTCAGCCAAGGATTGCAATTCTGTGCATTAGCCAGCCTAGGATTCCAGTTCTGTGTTGATGACATCACAATGACTCTGCTGGAGGTGGAGTGACCTCTGGGAGCAGAGTGGTAAATCTCAATGTTTCACAGCAAAACGCTGCACATACAGACTGCAGACACCATGATCATTTCAAAATACTATGACGCAACAAGGTAACACTTTAAGAACATCATAACCATTAGACAAAAGATCAATGATATGAATATATATATATATATATATATATATATATATATATATATAGATATAGATATTTATATTTCCAGGACTCCCATATGGTATTTTCCCATAATACGCAGTTCACTGTGAATAAATAATGCCATGTGTAGTGCATCAAATTGTGGATGTCCTATTTGTCACTGAACTTATAGGTGTCATGTGTAGAGAGCAGGATTGCGGTCTGTACCTATGCATACAGTTCCACTCATACGAACTCTTTCTATAAAATATTAGATTTATTCCACCGTAACTTTGGTATTCTCAAGCTACTATAAGCCAAGACTTAACATTAAAAGCCACAGCTGCTACCTGTGTTACTGCAGAGCTAAGTTTATATGAAAAGGGAAATGCTTCTTTAATTGGGTCTTAAATAGGTTTAACGTTTGTTAGTCTGTGGTTTAGTCACAGTTTTAAATTAACAGTTGAAACATTGACATACATTATATTTTGCATATATTGCAAGTGGGATACAATACAGAGTTTTTTGAGGGAATGATCTCAGAGATCAGTCTCTAACCACATCCTCTTAAGGTTATGGCCTTAACGTTCAGTATAGAGGGGGGAAACTGGCTGTGCACCTGCAGATATCGCTATTGTTAACAGCACTGAAATTATCCATTGCATGAAAAGTTCTGTTTAGAACACTGTATACTCACTTTCTAAGGTTCTGTCAAGGTCAGCAATGAAATCTTCCAGCTCTTTTGTGTCTCCCAATTTAGCTGTAAACAGAGTCAAATTGTAAATTTGCAAATAAAAACACACATTTAACACTATACTGCCTATACCAAACTCTGAAATACATAAGGGGACTAATATACTTGTTTTGAAACAAAGTTTCCACTGTCGGGGCCTGGAAAGACTAATTCAATGCTTCATGGGTGAACTTGTCTGTTGTGAGAATTCTTGTATGTCCTTATACCAGCCCTGACCGACTATATAAACTTTTCATCAATTTCCTACAATGTTGTCTGTTACTTGTGCACCCCTAACTGCAAAAAGAGGACATTTAAATAAATAACTTCATTGATGCCTTATTTACTGTAATTCGGTCAGGTTTTCCATGATGCTCTTGACCTTGCACTCAACATTAACCCAATTATTTTATACAGAAAGATGTAAGCAAGTATGTGGATGTCATACCTTTTCTGGGGGTCTCCATTGGAGAAGACAATACTGGTGAAGAGAGTGTTGGGGAGTTTAGTTTTTCATCACTGAAGCTTAAGCTGTTTCTACAAAGAGAATCTGCACCTAGGAAAAAAAAAAAAAAAAAATTATAAATAAATGATATCCGTTGCCAGTGACCACATATGGCTATTGAGGTTCCAGAGGACATTTTCAACATAGTTCAGAATATACTATGCATACCACAACATGCAACACAAAAAACAGAAATACCACCATTCACAGCATTGGTGTCCCCTAAGAGTTTATGCAAGATTACAAATTCCCCACACACACACACTGCAATTTTTCCACCATTCCCAACCCACAATGGATATTGACAGCCAACTCTTTATTAATTTATGGTATATAATTAATAGCTTTGTCCTGTTGTAAATTGTTGAACTTTCACACACATAACACCTTGAGTTATTTACTAATAACCTGCAAGGCTACTTTTGATTTTGTTTTTGGTGTTCACCAACGTGACATCTGAAACGAGAAGCCCTGCAGCAGATTGTATTACCAGCCTAGCACTCCAGAAAACTAATCTCCTATGAATAACCAGAGAGCAATAGCCAAATCTGGCACTCTGATCCCCATGACTGAAGCACATTTGTGTACGCTTTTTGGAGATTTAATTTTTCAATTTTGAAGTTGTAGACTGCTGCAGGTCCTGAGAAACAGGCTTTAGAAAAGCAAGGAGATCTGCAAAAAATGTCAATGGCCTTTGGCATATTGGAGTGGCCTCTACATGTGCGAACAATTCTAAAATCTACAGTCCCAAGGTTCCCAGCAACGCCCATATGATTATATAGCTAAAACAATCAAGAAATAAAAAATAATGCACACTAGGCCCGAGTGGTGCATGTGAACAAATCTGTTTTAAAGCTGTGCTACTGTTTTATATTACAATTCATTCTCTTACTGCATTACCAAGCCGCATTATGATTTATATTCAGGGGTAATGGTGACCAGATCAGGTTTTAAATTCTAACCTAATGAATCTTCTAACATTACGAGCAAACAAAGAAGCCATTTATGCAGCAGAGAGGCCCACGGCATAACAGTTCACATATTTTATAGGTGACATCCTGAAAGCTCTTTACGTATTCTAAAAACGGCACCATCGATTTTATACAGTCGCAGATTTACTTCTGATCATAAAACCAGCACTGAGTGATTTGACCGCAGTCTGAAAATTGAGGGTGGAATTGGGATCTGTAAGTGGGGCCTGCATTTAAATGCATTCAGCAATTCTTTAGATTGCATTCTTAGCTATTAAGGTGATACACATTTTGCTTTTTCAGTTCTAAATTCATGTGTTTGAAATGTATTAAAGACTAAAAGTATACATATTGGATGTAAAATCGATCACATTAAATAGAATAGATACAGTAATTAAAGTCCTAGTCTATATATAAAAAGGTCTATAAGGGGCCAAATTAATCAAATAATAGAACATTTGTTTGTACTTGGTTGTAGTCAAAACCAGCCTGAAGTCTGCAGCCATAGACCAGGCATCTCAGTCAATTTACCTGGGGGCCACGGACAAATCATAGTCTATATTTGTGCCTGTATATCCACTATGATAGAATAGCTTCCTGAGGTCAGTGTGTTCTTATTAGAAATATACCATGGCAGATTTTAACTAACCAACTCGTCATTCTATTTTGCATTGAACCTCATGATGGCCCTTTATTGGCAATAGCCTTTGACTCCTTTAGTTAAGTGTTCCCCAATCCAATCCTCAAGGACCACCAAAAGTCCTGGTTTTGCAAGTATCTCCATTGAAATAAAACAATGAAATACACAAATCCTGGATTGTTGGTGGGTCATGAGGACTGGGCTGGGGAACACCGAGTTAAAAGACAAAAGCAACAGACTCAAAATGTTAATTGCGCACCTAGATTTTATTTATTGTTTTGCTCCCTTCTGCTTGAACTTAAAAAATGCAACAAACTGCTCGGCAGTGAAATGTCCAGTTATTTTTAGTCCTCTTAAATTAAGGTGTTATAACTTTTACAGGGTTTATGAATGATATTAAATGTATTCCTGACCCTACAGTGTTAAAAACCACCATCTAGCCCCTTGAATATAGTAATATCTTACTTTACTCCAATCTGCTGCTACTGGCTCTGCCCTTGATCTGCCTCCTTGGCAGACATCAAAATTGGTGACCTCAGCCAATCACAATGATTTCCCATAGGAAATAATTGGACTGGCTGAGATTGTCAAGGAGGCAGATCAGCGGTAGAGCCAGCACAAGCTAAACACAGCCCTCGACAATCAGCATCTTATAGAGAGATGCATCTCTATGAGAACAGTTCAGCATCTTCATGCAGAGGATGGAGACACTGCACCACCACCCAAGAAAGCACCTCTAGCAGCCACCTGAAGAGAGTCCACTGGAGGTATCCCTAGGCTTAAAAGACAGTGTTTATTGCAAAAAAAGCATGCACCAGAACATATACAATAAGATGTAGTTCTGGTGACTATAGTGTCCCTTTAAATAAAAGAACCCTGCTTGTACCCATATTACTTTTAACTTGTCGGGAAAACAAATTCATCCATCGGTATAGTTTTCACCTCCAGTATTTGGAATCCTACAGGTAGCCAATGAGTATGGTGATATGGTCAATAATATATTGCGAATTAAGCAGGGAGTAGACTGTGGTGAGATGTTGTGATAGTTCAGACTTAATATAGTATGCATGTTTGTGTTACAAACACATAGGCTAAATATAACTAAACCACAGAAGCAACATTATACTTTACAACAGCAAAAAGATTTCCTGTAATTTTCAGGAGCCAGAGGAGTGGAAGCTTCAAACTACTTATGAAACTCTAACCTTGACATGAAATTGAGCTACTGTCTAGAAGTTAAATCTACACACCCTGAATTTATGGGTTAGAGAAGTGACTACAGGATACACATTAATATATTACGTGTGTAGGCACTCTAATATATCAAGTGACCGCATTCTGTGGTAGTCTAAGTCATATGTTGCTCTATAGCTATGCAGCACTGCCTGCAGCCAGCCTCTCATACATAGTGCACACAGTCATACCTCCCAAGTGCCTCTATTTAGGAGTGACAGTCACTATTCGTGGCCCACATCTAGTTGTCCCTTTTTTCTAGGATCTTCATATTGTTGCGGTGTCCGAGTTTATACCAGCTCCACAACAGTAATACAATTTAGAACAAGAACAATGTATCAGAATTTTAAGCACGTTTTAGTTACATAAATTGCTCTTAGTAAGTCACCTAAACTTTTTCCAAAACTGCCTTGCCTTTGGCCACACCCCTTAAAATTAAGTGCCTTTCCCCCCATGGGGAGAGGGTATTTTAACTAAAATAAACATTTGCATATTGGATTCCTCTCTGTATGCCATTAGTACATCTCTAAATTCTAATTGTTGTTCAGATCTTGGCCTTTCAGAATTTATCAGTCCTGAGTCTAGCAAATATCACAATATTTAACATGCAAAGGATGGGCATTTTCCTTGGCATGGAATTAGTAAAGGCTGTAAGAGGCAGAAAATGTATTGTATGACCTGCAGAATACGCGTTTATTTCCCTAGTCAAGATGGGGGGAAAGTGAAAAATGCATCCAATGAACGAAAAAAATCCCATGGCTGGAATTCAGGCAAGAATTAAAAGCAATACAGATATTGGAAATACCACAGTATATCTTCAACCTTAACACAGTAATCTCTAGTACCTGCTGATTTTAATATATATATACACACACACACATACATAAGATAGCTTTACAGCCTTTTAATCCATAACAGAAGGGTGGCTGACTGAAGGATAAGCATGGGTCAACATAAAGTCAGTTGAATACAGAAGGATATATTTTCAAATGAACTGTTTAAGAGAGCATTTTTTATAAGGCAGTCTAATTACAGCGGTAGAGGAAAATAAATTGGACTTCCTATTGCAAATTAAATGTGGCTTTGATTTTCGATATGTACACGTCAGACGAGTTATGGCAGAACATCAATGAATGCTTGGAAGACACACACACACACACACACATATTTCCTGCTTTAAATTACTGTAGTGAGACACCAGAACATGAGATGTCTAATTACAAACTGCACCGTTACACCAGATATATACACACACGTATAATATAAATTTAAAAACAAAAGACAACTTTCTCCTTAAGGTGTTTTGGGTTAGTTTTTTTAATCCCTAAATAGGGCAAAGCTCATTCACCATTTTTGCTAACTGGGCTAATTAACTGGATCTGATGTTTTGGGGGATACAGGTCATTGAAACTTAGAGAACCTAGAATAGTAACCAAAACGGTGCCTGTGGCAGCATATGAATGTAAAACATGCATTGCTTACTCCAACTTGCAATATAACTGTTATATTTTTGCCTTTGGTCAATCACCAATAATCTATAAACCCTTGTGATATGCTAAGCAACAATTACCAGAAACAAATCTTTCATCTCAAAATTCACAGCGCGTGGCAAACTAAGGGCTTTATTTACAAAACTGAGCTGCCGGAGGCGGAGCATGACCTCCGAGCAAAGCAGATGTGGAGAGCCGGAACTCCAGACAATTTGTCTGAAAATCGAGCTATTAACCGACAAACACGGCTATTACACAACGCTAAACGGGCCCTTCAGGTCAGGGGTGCCCAGACAAGCTGACTCATACCGAGAATCTGGTACCCTTGCCACGGCCTACCTGGAACAGAGCTGAGGGGAAGCGGCTGGTCTCCTCGTGCTCCGGACCAGGGTCTGGACTTGTGGCACTCCTAAATGACTGTGAATTGAGCAGTGAAATTGCAGGGGAATGATCTATACACTAAAACTGCTTTATTTAGCTAAAGTAATTTAGGTGACTATAGTGTTCCTTTAATGACATTTACGAAAGTCTTTAGAGAATAGTCTGAGGACATTTTCAGAGACTTTGCCAGTGGGTAGATCAAACCACATGTGCAAACAAAGTTTCCAAACCAAAGTGAATTCTTAAAGTGTTTGAGCAACATACCACTTTTATTTAAAGGGACCACAGCCCAACAGAAAGCCAAACTCCCCATTATTGGTCATTTAGCTTTCCTATGTCCTCACTAAAACTGTGCCATGTAGTCTTAACTATTTCTACATCACTTTTATAAACAAATTCAAAATTATGAAGGAATTTAACCATCACTTTTCAGAATACTTTTATAAATATTGCCAAAGATTTTGTCTTGTTATCCTTCCCATGATGCCTAGCATGGACAGAGGTGGCCACAGGCTTGTGTAGAATCATGGGAGTTGTAGTTCAATACCTCATTATCTAGCTACACAAAAGCTGATTTTGTAGCCATTAAACAATTAAAAAAGTTTTCTTGAAACATTATATCTATTAAGTTATTTTTTTCTAAATGAGTGATTAGATCAGGACTTGTCATACTTGGCCACCAAATAACTGCTGTAACTAGACACTGGCTGATTCTACACATCATTCACATAATCTAATTGGATATTGGGCAGCCCTGTAGGAAAAATACAACGAAATATCTACAGGGCCAGTGGCTGGTTAACACCTCAATTTCCAGCTGTTTCGTACAGCTTCCTCCATCCCTTTAACAGAAGGAGCTGTTGTATCACTCTATTTACAATCCAGGGACATTGCTCTCATCAAGTTTAGTGCGTGTGTTGGATGCTATAGATAAATGTGATACAGAAGTCATTTATTAGAGGGATGCTTTATGGGTAACGGGTACCAAATCAATGCTGCGTGACGATATTTGTTATTGGCATTACTTGTCATATGGATGTATGGTAAGATAATGATGGGATGAATCTCAGATGTTATCTGTTTAATTCCTTCACAGTACACTCTACAGGTCACTTATTCCATGTAAATCATCACTTTAGTCCATGACACGCAAGATTATAAAGCTTACTTTCTGAGTCGCTGATACCACTGTCACTGATGCTAGCACTGCTCCTTCTCTTCATAGTTTGGAGATGTTCATCATATCGAAAGCGTCTCTTGTTGAAAGGAGAGGAGAAATCTGCTATCACAGCATCAAATTCACAAAGCACCTCATTTAAATCGTCATCTTCAATAAAAGCCGCTAATAACAAGAAATCAGGAGGAAAAAAAATTATACATTTAAATTAGGGAACAAAATACTGCCACCAGTTTGACAGACACATGCTAAACATTTCTGTAACACCAGAGAAAAAGGAATATTTATACACACGCTAGTGACAAAACAATATATAGCAAATCTTTTAAGATGTGTCTGTAATACATATATAATATAAATATTACACAGACCCTGTCTTAATAGAAGCAGGCATCTTCAATACCAGAAAGATGACATCACTACCAGACTAGGCTGTCTATTAAATTTATAATTATGTCTACACTCCACTGGCCAAACTCTCTTTTTTAAAGGCACAAGAGATCCAGTAAATGACAGTCTACATCATTTCGAGTTTCAGATGATTGGCATTGTGTGTAAAAAGGACGTATTTTTTAAAGTAATCAATACCAAGTTTAGTTTAACTACTTTTTACAGAACTCATTTACTTTGTTGAATTTTTTTTTTCCCATTTGGATCGGTTTTAAGTGTCTTTTGTGATTATAAATAGGAATTCTAGCAACTGCCTTAGTTGGATAAATGCCACAAAATTGTGTGGATTGTTAAAGCACAAGCCCTGCAGCAAAAGGTATATTGTCAGTGTCTCTCTCTCTCTCTCTCTGAGTTCACAATAAGAAACTCAAGATAAGTATTAGTAATAATGAGATAAAAATTGCCAACTCAGTCATTCAGAGACTATAGTGCAAAGACACAGTACAACATAGCAAACACAGACTAGACACTAAATGACTCTTCTATGCAAAACTGTCAAGGGGTTCTTAAAATAAGTTAATAAATAATATATATCTGAATTCTGTTTTAATTACCCTGCATTTACGGGCAAATGCTATAAATATTACAAGAAAGGAAAAATACCCAATTCTACAATTTGTGTGTATTTGTAACATTATCAACAAGTGGAAACTTTTGCAACAGATTATTCAGAAAAAAAAAGCTTCACAGCTTCTATAATGTGGGCAGACATTAAACCACTATGAGTCACCTTCTGCTCCGGTGACTGTAATACATAGGTGACACACACTCACTAGCTGTTCAAGACCCCAAAGGAAAGTTTTTAAAAACTTTCCTTAAAATGATTAGAGCCTGTAAACCCTCACTATAAACTGATACCATCAGAAATCTCTTTCACCATACAAGTCCTTCACAACAGAGCATAAGCAGAGGTTAGAGAACAAAGACAGAGAAAGACAAAGCTCTTATAACAAAACCATTCCGTATTACTGGAGCTCTGCTCAATAGACATCAATGCCATGTTAACCACTGCAAATGCTCCCCTAGTCTCTGAACAGTGAGCAGATGCTCAGTAAAAAAAAAAAAAAAAACTATCCCAAGGCAATCCACAGTAATTGTAGATGATGCTAGTGTAGTGTACCTATAATCTTCATTTTACCACCCTCTTATAGTAATTACACTGCCAATGTTATAATTCACTAACCCACCTCCCAGGGTGCATGAGATGCACATCATAGCATAGGACCTTAGTTTTAGTTGGAGAGATCGAACACACAGAATGAATGTATGTTTATACATAATAATCAGACACTAAGTTCTGGACTGTCCCTACCTCGTCCTGGACTTCACTGATTATCTGCCATGATGTGGACTTCGTTCATTTTGACATTGGTCCAGATTTTATAAGGAGCTTGAAAGACATGCGAAGATCGCTTTTTGGACATCTATTTAACACGAGCTGTGTGGGGAGTTCAGCAGCCCAGCCAGCAGTAATGACTTTAATGACAATATAGCCCCTATCATTAGCCTCCAGTATCAGGCAGGTAAAGGGTGTCATTGGATTAGCGCTGCTTTAGCTGGGTGTCCTGTGTGACTCTCCATGACTGCACTTACTAAGAGCCTGAGAGCGCTCACTTACCTCTCCGAGCTGACTTCACTTTAGGAGACTTCATGGTTCCAAACCGAGAATGAGAAAATCCTCGCGAGTTAAATGATCCAAAGGATTCCGCGAATAGAACGTTCGCACCTCTAGTTACCCACTGCAGCCCGGTCAGCTACTACAGCGCTTTTTATGGAGCTGAGTGACGTCACGGCGGGGAGGCGCTCCCCCGGCCAGAGAAAGTTCCATTCAGTGTTGTGACTGCAGCCCCTCGTGTTGTGGCACAGACGCACGTACACAGCTAGAGGGGGCTAACATGACAGACATTGGCCGTGCTTTACAAAGTCTGTCATTGCTAACAGGTGGCAAAACTGTTAAAAAAGAGAGTGATTGGGGTTTAGAGTGACTGTAAGCAAGTGCTACAGGTACTAGAGGCAGGGATTCATATCCGATCTGTGGCAGTATCTCTATCTATCCCTCTGTTTTTTAAGAATTCCCATGATTAACTGTTAAAATGTAGTATCATTCTCTGTATTATAGAATGCTATAAGAACTGATAAATAAATGAACACTCCAAGCACCATAACCACATCATTACAATGCACTGCCACTGTAGTGCTTGTGATATTAGGAGTGCCCTCACACTACCCACCAGTGTGAGTAGTCAAACCGACTTGATTTCATACCTGGGGTGCGCTGGGTGCTGCTTCCTGACACTACCCTCCTGGGCTGAGAGCTGGAAGCTTCTGGCGTTAGTAGTGGAGGCGTTGAGAAGCGCCGGTGGACCAAAGCCAGCGCATTGACTAAGAGCATCAGCTGGACACTCAATGAGCTAAGCCCTGCACAGCCAGACCCAGGGCACTTATGGCACCATAGGCACTACAGTACGCTCTAGTGCAGGGGTGCCCAAAAGGTAGATCCCCAGATGTTTTAAATGTACAGCTTCCATTATGCTTTGCCATTCTACAGGCATTCCAGTGGCATGCAAAGCATCATGGGAGTTGTACTTCTACAACAATAGGGGATCTACCTTTAGGACACCCCTGCTCTAGTGGTTATGGAGATTGGAGTGTTTCTTTCTTAACTGGATACAAAAAAAAAGATTCCCGTATGTTTAAAAATATTCAGAAATAAAGCCACTTGAGATGTTTCTACACACTATGGTAACATTCATATTATGCACAGAATACAGTGGGAATTCAGTGCTTAGCAGCACACAATATATGCAGAATGGGCATATTATGGCATTTATAGCCATAAATCATAAGGATTTTTCACTAAACAATAACATTTGATGAATTAAAACCAGATTTCAAATGCTGTTACGGAACATTTTGGAGTTAACTTATAGTCACAGCTTGGCTGTTTAAGCCTAAACTTTGCAATTCAGTTTTTGATGAATAAACTCCAAGAGTCTAATTTACTAAGTGCGCCTCTGAAGTACACAATTTGCATGTAATAGCTGAAATAAACTTAAAAACATGATTTGGGTATTTACTCATTTACTGAAGGAGTTTAAGATGTGCCTACAGAGTTTGGCCTGAAATTTTGTGAATTCCTTTCTAGATAATTCTGTCGACTAAAAACAAAAACATAGAATTTGGCCTGCAAACCTCCGGCGTAGTCCTGAGCTGTTAGTTCCGATGAATGCATCTTATTTACTACCTTTTAAAGAAATTACACCTCAAAGTAATTCAAGTTTGTGTCACACTGAATTATTCCAGAGGCAGGATCCAGTAACCTGGAAATTTAATTCCTGAACCTTTGCAAAACTAGCCCCAAAGGCACACAGGCTGCATAAGCTGTAAAGCAAGTACAGTGTTAAAATCCTGCTCCAGGAAATTCTAATACCCAAGAGGGAGCCAGGACTGGCATTAATCCTGCACCCAATATGCTGATTGGGGACCTGGCTTTCCACCCTGGGCTATTTACCGGGGGGTTTAAATTATGAATTAATTGTTGGCCACTTCTTCTGTCAGTTGTCCGCTTACCTCCACCATGTTAATACTCAGTTCCTTTGAGAGGCATTTGAATGCAATCTGAAAAGTGAATTTATTTTTACTACTTATATAGGGCAATATAGTTTAAAATTAGACATATATATAAATTAAATATGATTACAATCGGTACAGCGTTATCTAGTCCCTGCCAATGCTGAGCTAAATAACTATCTTTTTCTAGTAAAATGTGCCACCATGTTAGTGAAGAAAATTTGACCGGGCACATACAGATTGTATTAGGCAGATTATATTACATATCCATACAATGTTTCGGCTCCCACAGAAGCCTTTCTCAGGACTGGTATGAACTTCTATTAAACCCAAAGTAGGAAAGGTAATAAGTAGCATCACTATTGGGAGAACTGTCTACTAAATAGTCTTATGAATTGAGAAACACGACACATTACATTAGGGTGTGCACCCAGAGAAAATTCCATTAATTGAAAAATTCCATTATGCAGAATGGGAATTGGCACATATGATCCACACAAAGGACACCTGTATCCCAGCACTATGCAATATAATAATGCACTCCCTCATAGTGATTGAGATATTAAACTCCCCCTGGTCGTATCAGCTTAAACCTGGTTTAGTAACCGAAAAATAAATCTCTCTGTCCATGGCATGGGACAGGAAACATAATATTTCAGGACCCACGCAGGGGTTGGTCAATTTTAAAGGCTCTAATTAAGCTAATTGGGTTTAATCTTGTTAAAATCCTGTCATCTTGGCACGTAACAGAGTTTTAACCTTTAAGTGATGCTTCCATGGTTAGTCAGGAAATAACACATTTTTCCTCTAAGGACAATCAGGTGTATGCAGAGATAGTCGTGGTATAACCATTCACATGTATGGTATATTGCAGCTTTTGACTCTGCTGTGTAAAGTAGTGGGGGTTAGGAGGTGTAGTGTAGTGAGGACTGCAGTGTGTATGTCTGAGGGGTGAAGGATGTGTGTGTGTGTGTGTGTGTGTGTGAGGGGTGCAGGGTGTGTGTATCTGTTTTTGAGTGGTACAGGGATTGTGAGGGATGTAGGGTGTAAGTGGTGCAGTGTGTTTGGGATTGTGAGGGGTGCGTGGGGTGTAGTGTGTGTGATAGTGAGCGGTACAGTGTGTGAGGGATACAGTTTGTGAGGGGTGCAGTGTGTGTGATTGTGAGGGGTGCAGTGTTTGTGGTTGTGAGAGGTGCAGTGTTTGTGGTTGTGATGGGTACAGTGTGTGAGGGATACAGTGTGTGGGGGGTGCAGTGTGTGAAGGGTACAGTGTGTGGGGGTGCAGTGTGTGTGATTGTGAGGGGTGTAGTGTGTGTGTGTGATTGTGAGGGGTGCAGTGTGTGTGGTTGTGAGAGGTGCAGTGTGTGTGAGGGGTGCAGTGTGTGTAGTGTGAAATGCCCCGTTGCACCCCTCCCCCCCCCAGATCCGCCCCTGGACCAGTGGCAGAACTACCGATTGCACCGGGACCATGCACTTAGGGCCACCAGATGGGTTTCATTAAATAGGGGCCCGGACTGGTGCCACTGCTCTCTAAGAGATATACACACATATTAAAAAAATAATAAAATAATAAAAATATATACATATATATGAAGTAAAAAAAGAGAGCGCACAAAAAGATTTTAAATATACCTATTTTGAATGTTACTAAAAGTACCCTCTAGATTTTAGCTGCTTAAACAAAAAAGAATTTCCCAAATCCTATATTTAAATTTTTGAATTATGTTGTCAGCGCTTAGGAGATAATCCCCTTGAATTTTAACAAGGGTGTACACATCTAAAATGTATCCACAACAACTGTATCGAATAAAATTAAAATACAGTATTAGAGCATCAAAGTTCCTAACTGTAACAATAAAATATTGTACAAACAAAGATGCACTGAAGTCCAGTAAATATGACTATTTGCAGGGTCCAAAATATAGGGAAGTCCACAATTATATCGAAGACACACTCTTGTGCTTGAATTCCAAGAAAAAAATGTGGTACTTATCACTAAGAACCACACTAAAAGCTTAGCTGGCTGCAGTCTCTCCTTCAGTCCCGGTCTTCAGATGGAGACAGCGTCTACCTCGTGCACTGAGGTGAGCTGTTTGGTCGACAAAGTCCTCCTCTCCACTGGTATGAATCCGGCTAACGTTGGAAACTGGACGAGCAGAGAATATGTAGCCACACATAAAATAAAATAAAATGTAATATAAAAAATGAAATAAAACACCCAATCAACGCGTTTCGCCCCTCTTCCGTGGGCTTTTTCAAGGGGGGCGAAACGCATTGATTGGGTGTTTTATTTCGTTTTTTATATTACATTTTATTTTATGTGTGGCTACATATACTCTGCTCATCCAGTTTCCAACGTTAGCCGGATTCATACCAGTGGAGAGGAGGACTTTGTCGACCAAACAGCTCACCTCAGTGCATGAGGTAGACGCTGTCTCCATCTGAAGACCGGGACTGAAGGAGAGACTGCAGCCAGCTAAGCTTTTAGTGTGGTTCTTAGTGATAAGTACCACATTTTTTTCTTGGAATTCAAGCACAAGAGTGTGTCTTCGATATAATTGTGGACTTCCCTATATTTTGGACCCTGCAAATAGTCATATTTACTGGACTTCAGTGCATCTTTGTTTGTACAATATTTTATTGTTACAGTTAGGAACTTTGATGCTCTAATACTGTATTTTAATTTTATTCGATACAGTTGTTGTGGATACATTTTAGATGTGTACACCCTTGTTAAAATTCAAGGGGATTATCTCCTAAGCGCTGACAACATAATTAAAAAATTTACATACATATATATATGTTTTTTTATTATTATATATACACCCTGTTCCAAATTATTATGCAAATGATATTTTTCTCATTTACCTAAATAACTGATGTAAATAACAGTCAGCATAATTCTCATATTATCAACTATTAAGAGTACAATTCAAATTTTAATGAACAAACCTCCTAATGATAACAGTATTTTTTTTAAACATAAAAAACTTACAATGCACTGTTCCAAATTATTACGCACAGTAAGTTTCAAAACACTTTATAGGTTGTAAAGAACTGAAAATTGTAATTTGTTGTGTTTGCAGCATATTTACTGAAATCAAAAGCTATTTCAATCAAACTTATAACAACATTTTAACTTTTTAAAACATTTTAACAGATCACGTTACATTTTAACATAGGACCCCTTATTCGATAGCAGCTTCACAAGTCTTGCATCCATTGAACTTGTGAGTTTTTGGACAGTTTCTGCTT